GCTTGTCCGGCGCAGAGATATCCATTGATCCGGGGGGATGGTAGATCGCGAAAGGGGGTTGCATCCCCTCCGCTCTAGTGGCCGAAGCATCTACAATGTTCCTTTCGTGTGGCTGCTATCAAAGAAATCAATTACCCGGCAACACACGCGAGTTTCAAGCTCCGCTCCGCTCTAAGGTGGTGCTGGTACCTCTCTGGTGTCTCTGGTGTCGGTGATGGTAGTGGCGGCAACGATGGTGGTGGTGGCGGCGGTGGTGGTGGTTCGGGAGGAGGAACGCCGCTGGCCGTCGCACATATTTATTTTATTACTGCCCACTCCTTGCCGCCCCGGCACGGATAGAAGCCTTTATCAAGTTCCACCGTGCAGAGAACTCCGCCTTTTTCTTCTGACGTAATCGATGAAAGAGAAACGGCGATAGTGACGGAAAACCCTGGATACCCTCTCCCGCAGTTTTCGAACCGTATCGTAGGGGTTTTAGGTATTGCCTTGCTTTGTAGCTTGTATTCCTTGTTGAATAGTAAATATTATCGATGATTATCTGAAATTGATTTATGGGAGTCATGCGAAAAATGAAATGTAGGTAGACAGTCTTATTAATGAATCTTGTTTTATTGTGTATGAGAAGCAGTGGTATAATGAAAACGTTTGATAAGTGTGAATTGTCAATCGTCCAATTTGAGAGAGTGTGAATTGCAATTGCGATTAATATGGTTTATTTAAAGTACAATTTGTTCGTATTATTAGCAATGAACTATAATTTATATAAATAAATATTCTGTATTAGTAGTATAACACGTAACTGACCCCCTAAGTATCAAAATTTCTTTTTTACTTCTGTAATTGACTTATTGTGTCTGAATACATATAATAAAAAACACTTGCGTTTTATAAACGGAACAGGTTTCTTTGTCAATATATTGTTATATTTTTTCAATAAGTTTATACATAAACAGAATAATATTTCATATTCTATATCAGTACATTATTTCTTTAATATATGTAATAAGTTAATTAGTAATTATTAATTACCAATATTACTTTAACTCCAGTTAATAAAGAGGATCATCGATTTTAAACTCAGTCGATGACAATTGAGTTATCAGTAGAAGATAAGTATTTTAGTTCCGCGATTCAATGATCCGGTGGTCTGAAATACCGATCGTGTAAAAAAAGCAAACCTTTTGTTACGCCCTCTACGATTTAGAATAGTGAATTTAAAAATTACGATGCGACGAATTAAATTTGGTTTTCGTTAACTCGTGACTTTGAACAATTCAACGTGATTCCTTTTCATTCAAACCACTTGCATCTTTAAATATAGATTACGAGTTTCGATTTCACATATCTGAAGTTGGAAAATCCTCGACTTAATCAATTAAAAAATTTTCCCCTATTCGAAGGTTCAAAGTCCTCAGTTACTCTTGACGTTTACTCGTGATTGTTAATGAATTTTGATTTCTTTTTATCCGTCCCACTTGCATCTTCAAGTACAGACTACAACTTCAATTTCATATGTAATAAGTTAAAGAAGCTTCAAGTTAATCGATTAAACCATTTGCCCGTACCCTTCCGTTACATTTTGACCACAATCATCCTCAACGTCTAGATGTGATACTCAATGGGTTCTCCTAACTTTTTTTATCCTGACCATTTGCATGTTAAAATGGAGACGTCAACGTTGTTTCTTTATAAAAGTCGAACAACAGCCAAACATTCATCTTTGAGTACCCTAAGAATATAACTTAAAAAATTCTAGTCATTTTCGATGGCATTCGCATTATACACACTTCATACAAGTCCCATGGAAAAATCTTCAATTCCTCGAAAATCAAGCCTGTGCGTCAAGTTGTGACACGTTCAGGGTGGGGGTTGACCGGACAGGTGAACGAGCGAGGGTGGACAAGCACGATGAACGTCGGCCGGCTGCAAGAGACCGATAGGATACGGGGGCGGTGTAGGATCTCTTGACGCGTGCATCGATGTCCACTGGCTCCCGAGGGAAATCCACTTCATGATGGGAATCCCATTATTTCCCGAGCGATATAAAAGTAGGTAGTCCACGTGCTGTCCAGTTCAGGCAATTCCACCGGTTCCCCACCTCCTTCCCACCCCCATCGGACCGCCCTTTTTCCCCCTTTGCGATTGTCTCCCGATCCATTCGCTATTCATCCCTAGCCCGAGACCATCTCTTGCCAAGGCGACACCGACAAAACGTTTTTACTTCGGATTAATACGGCCTATAGTCTTCCCAGAATTGAAAGTTTCCACCCCACGTGTCCTGATTCCTTCAGTTTGCTTGCCTTCAGCGTATCTTGTCCAGGAAAGACTTCGACAGAATCAGTGCGTTCTTAACACTAGAACTACCGGATGGGCTAAAATGATCACTTCCTGTTTTCATTTTTTCCAGTTATTCAACAGATAACAGATTCTTCTCTGAGAAAGTACTAGAGGAACTGATTTAACAATACACAAACTGAATTGCAAACCAACTGAAGTGTGAATAATTGCACTGTTGAGATTTCTACAAAACAATTTCAAAAAAACAATTTAACTGTTCGATAGTTCTAGTGTTAAACCAAATTAACATTTTGACTGCCACGTCACTTGAATTCGGGCGACAGCAAAGAAAATTATAATATAAAATTATAGTAGTATTATCACTCCCAATGAAAGAGGAGTGACATAGTTAATGACGCCCTCCTCATTAGTCTATCTATATTCTGAGTTCTGATACTTTGTGTATTGAATGTAAAAATTAAAGAGGTGCACGAAAAATCAACTTCAATTTTTTACATTTTCTTAAAATGTCGAATATATTGAAAAATTTAGGTATATAAGTAGACAGCAAAACTTCAATATACAGATAGTTGCATTTTTTTATATTATCTAACTTCTATTAATAGTCACTCGAGGTAATGTTTAATATAAAGTATTGTTATTTTTTTCAATAATAGCAACCCAAACCTAACTAAAGTATAAAAGTGAAACTAAGAAATAAGAAAAATAAACATTTTGTAAATAAAAATTTACAATTCATATTATAACAGAATTGTGCAGAATTTGAAATAATTGGTAATATATATGAACATATGTTATACGAACCTCAACCAAAACTGATATACTTTGATTTGATATGCCCTCGCAATTAAGAAACAGGCCTTTTTTTATACAAATAGTTCTACCTTGATTAATTTTGCTAATTAATAAAATAATTACAATGTCTTATGGTTGTTAGGAGACATATTTTTATTCTCATATGAAGCTATTGTAAACATCTTGTTTGTTTTCCTCGTAGTACCTCCCGCATCAAAGACAGTGTATTTAACAGTAGTTAAATGCCTCGTGTTGAGTGAAATTGAATGGAGAGTTTTGAAAAGAAACGTTAACAAATTTTAATCCTTATATTTTCAAAGTACAGAAACACTAATGACGTTATTTAAATACTTGTATTTACATTATATTTCACTTAACCTCTGTAATAATACGTATGTGTTTCATTTTTAGGTTACGTTAGTGTTTCACGCCGACGATATAACATACATGAAACAATCTTCAATTATTAACAAATATGGCATCATTTGTAACAAATTTTCAAAACGCCCAGCTTTTTAAGAAATGTTTAAAAACAAGGTATGACAAGAAATTATATACCACTAATCCAAAATGTTAATATATTTTGCTGCACAATTAATATATATGTAAATTATTATTTTGCATATTCAATTGTTATATATTACTAATTTATTATTATTGAATTATATTTTCATCAATTTTAGTTTTGATATCATAGTTCGTAATCGATTCAGAATGAATCCTCGCCCCAAAAAACGTCACCCAGAATGGCTTCCAAAACCAACACGTGTAGTATGTATTAATATAATAAAAATTTTTGTTTCACTGGGTTATTGCTTACTTTATGAATATTATATAATACTAATCTTTTTATCAGCTCTATAATGAAGATCTTACCCGAGAAAATAAAGAATTTATCTCAGGCGTTATAGCTACTAACCTTGTACAGAATTCTATGTTAAAATCAGAGATAATTAAGTCAGAAACAGAATGGACTCGTACCTCTATGCGAACTGGTCTAATTGGCAAAAAGATTGGAGTATATCCAATGTGGCTTAAAAATGGGAAAAGAGTATTAAGTACTCTGATACAGGTGTTATTAAATATTCCAATTATATATATATATATTGCCAGTCAAAAGTATGAAGCAAGATCTATGATTAATGAAACAGGATAACATTATATTATAACAATATAATAAAATTTGTGGGTTTAGTAGTTACATGAATTATTTATATTTCAGATTGATTTTAATTTTATTAAACTTTTGCAAAACAATGTCATTTTCTGTTTGTCAATAGAAAAATTTGATCTGTTACCTTTGACTGGCAGTCAAATATTTCAATATCATAGAACTGTACTAGATTGCCCATATAATCTATTTCATAGATTGTAGATAATGAAGTTGTCAAGTATATACCACCAGAAAAATACATACCAGTTAAACAATCAAAGCATAAACGAGTTAAAACAAAAAAAGGTTGCCTCGTAGTAGGTGCACAAAATATTGATCCACAGATAGTAAGTTGATATAATTCTCATTCAGTTTTAATAATTGATCATACATTAAACTTGTTGCTCAAATTTTTTTTCTATAGCTTACTAAAGAGTTTTATGGAGTATTTAATACTGCTGGAGTTACACCAAAGAAGGTACTGATGAGGTTTCATATTACACCAGATGCTGCCTTAGCACCAGGAACTCCTTTGCTTGCAGCCCATTTTAGACCAGGAGAATTTCTTGATATTAGAGGAAAAACGTAACTGCTGGGTCTATCACGTTATTTTGTATTATTTAGTACATAATAGTTAACCATAACATATTTTGTGAATGTAGGATAGATCGCGGCTTTCAAGGTGTTATGAAAAGATGGGGATTCAAAGGTATGCCTGCAAGTCACGGCGTAACTAAGACTCACAGGAGAGGAGGTAATATTGGTTCTGGAGGTGCTAAAGCTAGAGTAATGCCTGGTACTAAGATGCCTGGGCATATGGGGAATCGTTATCGTACTCTGAAAGGTGTAAAGGTAATTAATAATCGTTTTATTTATTTAATGATTAATAAGAATATTTCATTCAAAAGATAAACTATTCTTGTGAGGCTAGACCATTTCAATTGTAAAGTGAAATACCACTTTCAATGAACTATCTTTTTATATTTCAAGTTTGAACAGTATCTTTGACTAATGACAATAAATTTGATTAAACGATAGTATTCTTTAAATGATATAAATCTTTAGAGCTAAATTAATTTATTAAGTAAACGAGTATTAATATTTTAAATTAATAATAAACAGTCGTGTCAGTAATATCTATGCATTCTATGTATTGAGAGGGTTTAAACAATTATATAAATCTATTTAAAAAATTATATATGTATATTTCTTTTCTATTGTTAAAAATGAAGAACATGGTAACATAAAATGTAGTAAGTGCAACTTTCACTGGATGTCAGATGTAAGAAACAAGATGTTCTAAATTTTGCTTAAACATATTTGATTATAATTTAAAACATAAAATTATATTATTAATACTTTCATTTTAATAACTGAATATTATATTTTAGTTTATCTTTATAAATTTCCTTCAACAGTAAGTGTATAAATTAGTGTAACACATCATCAACACTCTTTTAATTATTTTAAAATATTTGCACATTATTGTATGATACGGACAAGTCTGATTGCACTTACTTAAAATATTGCTGCATTTAATTGATTATAAAGAAATCAATACTTTAACGTCGGATATTATAAAATAACTAAATCTTTATTATTGCTGTTATCAAAGTTCCTTTATAATATGTTTAAAATAAATGTGAACCGTATAAATTTTGCTTCACGTTATATTTTAACATCATAGAACATAAATAAAATATTAAAATCATTACCTACAACGATGCTTTTTGTTATAAAGGACATATTTTCAATTATGTTGAAGAAAATTTAATCTATACCTTTAATAACAGTTATTATAAATTTAACAGGAATTAATATTTCAAAAAATTTCAATTTGTAAAATGATTGAATTATATTGACAATTCAAATAAGAAGTTATAATGATGAATAAGTCTTCTCAATGAAAGGACTAATATTATCATTAACAAATTTTTGTTTTGCAGATATTACGAATAAACACCAAGTATAACGTAATTTGGGTATTAGGTCCAAATATACCAGGAGAAACGAACACCATGTGTTATTTGTACGATACAATACTTCCTTTAAGAAGACTTACTGCGCCGCCGAACTTTCCTACGTATTCACCAAACAGCAACGAAGACGAACTTCCTGAGAATCTTTATGCAGATGATGTTCATCAGTTCGGTGATCCCACAATTGAATTTATACCTGAATCGTAATTGTAACAAGATAGTTAATAAAGAAACAGTTGTATAATAGTACTATCGTGTTCTGTGTAGTGATTAAATCCTCTTTAAATTGCAACTCATCATATGATAAAATATCCAAACAAAGATCGGCAACGAATATCACCGAATTTACACGATAATTTTATTGTTCATCTTGTTTTTCTTACAGAAATAATAATCCATAGTCATGAATTAGACTAATAAAGAGTAGTCAATCGATTCATTTATTTAGTAATCAATATTATTATAAATTTAACATGCCTAAAATATACACGAATTGTTTTATAAATGTAACATCGCTAACCAAGACTCATCTCGAGTTAGAATGGACAGCAGCATGATCAAGCAATAAAAAGGTCTTTGACTTTTTTTCAGTTGCTCTTCTCTTTAGAGAGCAAGTTAATTAGTTCACTAAAATAATTTAGTCGGTACGTTGCGTACATCTAGCTGTGTCCGGCTAAGTTCTGCTCCGCCAATAATTTTCAGTATTTGTGATTAAGAAAAAAAAAGGGAAAAAAGGTAACATATGTGGCCTTTGAAAAATCAGAAGGAAAATAAAGAATACAGACTCTCCCTTGTTTCAATAAGAAACACCTCCCCTCCGTAACTTTTGCCCCTGTTTTTTT